CCAAGGATGTTATGTCTGCAGTGCTGGGAGGATGGGAAGAAACAGGTGTAGGTTTCAAGGAGAAAGGTTCAAATTGGGTGCAAGGAGAAACTTTTTCATTCCCAGACCAGCCAAGTGTTAGGTTGGATATTAGGAAAAGTTTCTTCCCCCAGAGGGTGGTTGGGCACTGGAACAGCTCCCCAGGGCAGTGGTCACAGCCCCAAGACTGATAGGTCAAGGAATGTTTGGACAACACTCTCAAGCACAGGGTGGGATTCTAGGGCTGTCCCACGGCCAAGTGTTGGACACATGATCCTTGTGAGTCCCTTCCAACTCAGGACATTCCAAGATTCCAAGTGTCAGAGTGTGCTGCCCACAGCAGTTGTGTCATCTCCTCCTTTGGAAAATTTTAAGACCCTAAAGCCCTCAGCAACCTGGGCTGAGCCTGGAGCTGACCCTGCTCAGAGCTGGAAGTTAGACCTCAAGGGGTCCCTTCCAGCCCAAATTCTGCAACAGTCCTATAAAATGAGCTTGGGATTCTTCCATGAATCTCCAGTGACTTCTAGAACCCACACAAGCTCTAAATTCTGGAGACAGGAATTTCCATGGCTGAATTACATCTCATGTGGGGATCTACCTACTTTTGTTTTGTTGTTGCTGTTAGCCAGCGCCTTGCTGATGCCACCAGCTCCCAGTTCTCCTTGCTGGTGGTGTCCTGGTCAGCCACTATATTCTGCTGGATCATGAACCTACCTGTGAGCAGAGGGCAGAGGCTGTCTGGATGAAACGTGATCTGCAGAGGGGGAGAGAACAGGCAGCAAGGAAAAACAAGCCTCCAACATGAAAAAAAAACCCCAACCAAATTACAGAAAAAAACCTGAAGAGAGATGCTGGCAATGGCCACATGACCTGCTCTTGGGATTTGTGGACTGGTAAAAAACCTTTCTTCGAGAACCTCCTGATCTGGGGTCTGACCTGAGGATTTTTGGCATCACATTCACAACCAGTGTGTGCCTGGGGACTGGAGTTGCAGGGAGGGAAGAGGCAGTTCGGCTGTTCCCACTGGGTGGGTTGATTTAAAAAGCAACCAGAGCCTGCTCAGTGTTTGAGGTCTGTACAAGGCTGTGAGTCTGTGTGCATGGCCATCCTGCCTTCCTCACCTTGCTGGGTGGGTTTGGCAGCAGCCTACCAGATCCCAGGGTGGAATAGGGTGAAAATGGGGTTTAAACCATCTGCTCCCATTGCTACCTCTTCCCTCCAGGGCTTTTTGGAGAGCTGAACTGACTTTCCTTCCTACAGGATGTGCTGGGAGTGCCCTGCAAAGTCTGGACCTGTCTCTGCCTGTGATTTTGCCTCCCTGGGGGTCTCCCAAGCATCATGTGCCAACCAGCAATTTATCCGTGGTTTGGAAAGGGGTTGTGCTCAGGATATGAGCTGCACAGTTACAAAGCATCTCCCCGGACCTGCATCTTCTGCCATCACCTTTCTCAAACCCATTGCAGCAGCTGCTGTGCCACAGGGGATGTTCCAGGTGCGGCTGTGCAGGTAGGGGTTGTCCTGTCTGGCCAGGCCCTGCTTTGGGCTGGCTTGGGAATTACAGCAATTCCTCCCCCTGAGTTATTAGCTGGTGCACAGACCACATGGAATTCATCTGCAGGATGTTGTTGGGAATGGCACAGAGCACAGGACAGGTAGGATACCTGTGCTAGACACACTATAAGTGATGGGTCTAAGCATGCCAGAAGTGGCTGATTTCAAACCAATTCCCATATCCCTCTCCTTCCTAAAAACAAGCCCTCACACCCTGTCATTGCCTCTTCATCTCAGCTCTTCTCTCCATGTGTTATCAGCTTCATCCACTGATTATAGCAATGTTTTATCTTGCATTTATCTCCTCTCAATGGCTGCTTTCCCTTTGCCACAAGGTCTTCGTGCTCTTTGGTAACTCTCCTTTAACTTATCTCTCCTATGCCACTGCTGAGACTTTGCTCTCCAAATGTTCCTACTTCCTGGTAACAGTTTACATTCACTCACTTTGCATCTCACCACACAACTTGGAAAAATCCTCAATTTTAATCCAACTGTTCTCCCATCAGCCTGAGTTACACATTTTCCTTTCCCCAAGTTTCTGTTTCTTTAGCTCAGAAGAGCAATATTTAGGCAAACTTCATTTTGGCTACAAAGCCAAACTCCAGCACCAAACTCTGCTATTGCTCCCAGCAAGGAACACCAGGTAAATGCAGGTGGAGTTTTGGGCAGAGAGGGATAGTAAAGCTTGAGTAAGAGGGTAGCTGGCATGTTTGGGTTTGTTCCCCACATCTGAGCAGGGCTGTAGCCTAGGGCTGACATTCTGATCTTGCTTGTGCTGGTGGAATTCAGATGCAGCCATGCTGATTCATTGGCCTCTGGGCTTTCAAAGGCACTTTCAGCTCTTTAATCAAAGGCTGTGGCTAATGAGAGTTGTGCAGGATCTGGAAGTGCCAAGCAGGGCAGGGAAATGCTCATCTACAAGGAAGAGTGAAGGCACAACAACCTTCCTCTGTACTCCTTTAGCAATTTCTTATCATCATATCTGGAAACACACTACAAAGGTGGGGAAACAGCCATCTGCCTGTGCAGATCTGCAGCCCTGGGCACTGAGGGTGATGTGGCTTGCCTGAGGCCAGGCAGCAGCTCAGTGGCACAGGCAGGTGATGGGAGTTGTCTCTCTGGGGTTTTTTTGCCTCCATCTTCAGATTCTGACCCATTTTGTGACCCTAGGAATGACTGAAAGTATGTTTTAAGCATCTGTGGGTTTTATTCCATTATTATTAAGAGTTACATCAAGGCATTATGTAGGTCTGCTGATGGTTCAAGGATACACTGCTTGGCCTGGCACATTCCTGGGCATTTCTGGTTGTTATTTTACAGCATCATAACTACAAAAACTTCATCAATCAGGCAAGGCCTAAGCCTTAAAATGTACAGTGAGCACTTCAGACACTTCAGCAAAGGCACAATATATACAGTAATGCCCAAGACTCAGCTCCAAAACCACTCAGACCTTGGGAATGGGGGGATTCTGGTGAATAGAGTGAGTGAGGAGAAAAGCCACTGCTGCAGGGTTGCATCATTTCCTTCAGTAGTTTGCTGTTTGTAATGTGGATCTAGCACTCAGCTGCTGCCACAAGAAGCTACACACTGCCCAATGGAGACCAAAGAAAAATCTAGAATAGTTTGGACTTAAGAAGTCAAGGAAGCACCCATGGAGCAGTTTGGGTGTCTTGGTTTTCTGAGGAAAAAAGGCTTGTGAGGAGAGATTTTGCAATAGCAGGGAAGGATGCTGATTAATGTTTTGGATGGATCTACCCCACCTCTCTTTAAATGCTCAAAAACTAGCTTTCTTACTCAAGATTCATCAGTCTGGTCTCTTGCATAATCAACAGATCCAAAGATCCATGAGATAATTCTCATCTGCAAGTTCCTAGTTCAGCTAATCACTTGAGAGGTGACAGCTTAGACTTATTAGCTCTTAGGCTATCCTGTTCGTTAGCATGAACTCCCCCTTCCAAGAAGGAAGCAAGTAGAGAAATGAAAGAACAAAGCCTGGGAGAAACATTGAGCTACCTAATAATTGTTTTGGATCTGGAATTCATATGGCACAAGTACCCCAACAGGTCAAATCTGCTCCTGGATGCTCTACCTTCAGGTAAGATCCATGGAGTGCCATTCCTGATGCCTGGTCTTGACAATAATCAATGTCTCTCATGCCAAAAAACATGACACAGTGTGGAGTAATCTGCTCAGAGAGCAGAAATCTTCTCACAATCCTTGTGAAATTGTCCTCAAGTTACACTGGGTAGGATTAGATTAGTTATTAGGAACAATTTCTTCACAGAAAGGGTTGTAAAGCATTGGAACAGACTGCCCAGGGCATGTGGTGGAGTCACCATCCCTGGAAAAGTTCCAAAAACATGTGGATGTGGCACCTGAGGACATGGTTTAGTGGTGAACATGGTGGTGTTCTTGGGTGGACAGTTGGACTTGATGATCTTAGAGGTCTTTTCCCACCTTAATGATTCTGTGATTGGTTCTTGGCATTTCCTCTACACTCTGTGATTTCTAGTCCATAAATGCTGAGGATTCATGGGCATACTGTGACTCTTCCCAACACATGGAGAGGCTCAGTTTTATCCCAGCTCCCTTACTCTGGGATATGACAAGGCAATGAGCTACAGTTGCTGTGCATTCAGTCCCCTTAGCTTTAAAACCTGCTATTTGTTACATTTACTGGGAATTTCCTTAACTGCAGAAAAGACCAGTGAGAGCACATGATTTACATCCTCTTAACTAAGGAGTGCCAGTCCCCACAGAGTCATGTGCAATGCTGTAATCCAGAGGGTGGGATTTGATTTCCTTCTCACTAACATGATTGAAAAGACGGAGTTGTCTTGCACAACATGAGAAATAAATTCTGTCTCCAGCACAGCCCTAACTAGATTTTTCTTGGAGTGGTTTCCTTGACTCTCCTTTCTCCCACATATTAAAGGCTTTTCCCTGGCATGCTCTGGTGCTTTCTAGCTGATTTGGCAGGTGCTGTAGGTTCCAGTTGAGGGATCACGTTAGCACTGGTGGTAAACCACTAACTTTGTAGGGAGGGTGGAGTTTCCATCACTCCAGAGTCATCCCTCATCTTCCACAACCCCTCAGTGCCTACAGAGACAGACAAATTTCGTAATGCCCTGGCAAAACACCACAGAGCAGCTCAGGCCATGGGATGTGCCCCAAGATGTCCAAGTGATCCACAGGCAAGCTCAGGAGCTCACAAGTGTCTCCACAAGTGTCTCCATGGCCAAAAGTTGAGGTGACCTCTGCAGAGATGACATAGCCAGAAGGAAAAGAGAATATAGCAGCAGCCTGAGAGTAGGAGTGTCAGGAAAACAGGTTGAGATCCCAAAAGCCAGCCACATTGCTGTTGTTTCCCCAGTGCCAGGCAGATAAATTTCTGTTCTGCTTGGATGAAGGATACTGTGGATCTTCCTTTACTCTGTGTCAGATCCTTGGTTAGATGAAGGAATGTGCCAGGGCTGAGCCTCAAAGAGTGGAGATGCTGGATGAAAGAGAAATAATGGAAGAATCAGATTAATTTTGTCAGAGAATTCAGATTCTAAACATATTCATGTACTCAGCCAATCCTTGGGATTTTGGTGGCATTTAATACTTCAAATACCTTTACAAATCTGGATTGAATGGAAAGATTATTTCCATTCATGATCTCATTATAGAGAGTATAATCATCAATCAAAACATCTTTATTTTCCCTGCGACTTCTTGGCAATCTACAAACATGCCCTGGCAAAGCCCAGCAGGAGCTTTACCTGAAGTTGGTATGTTTACCTTGGGAAAAGCCTGGCAGAGTTCACAAAGGTCTGGGAGAGGTCACTGGAGGATTTAAGATAGGATTTGTCTCTGATACAAAGAATTTCCATAGTTTTGCCTTGCAAATTGCCCCTAATCCAAATGCAATCCCTCAGGGATAATTCACCTCAGTAATTTTTTACTCCAGCAGTGGTGCTGTAGGTAACTTACTTCCACACTAACCATTTCCTCATGCACAGATTTTAAACTTCCTGTCATGCAGAAGACAGTGGATGCAGCTGGGACCAGATATGGCACATCCCAGCATGCATCAGTATCCTCCACCCAGACATGCCACATCCCTACAGGAACAGCATTCATAGTATCATAGTATGTCAGGGGGTTGAGAATGGACCTTAAAGATCATCTAGTCTCAACCCCCTGCCCTGAGCAGGGTCACCTCCCACTAGACCAGGTTGCTCAAGGCTTTATCCAACCTGGAATGAACACTGCCCGGGTTGGGGCAGCACAACCTCCCTGGGCAACCTGTGCCAATGCCTCACCACTCTCACATGAAAAAAAATTTCTTTCTAATATCTAATCTAAATCTCCCTCTTTCCATTTGTACCCACTGCTCCTTGTCCTATCACTGCAGTTCCTAACCAAGAGTCCCTCTCCAGCTTCCTTGAAGCCTCTTCAGATCCTGGAAGGTGCTATGAGGTCTCCACACAACCTTCTCTTCTCCAGTCTGAATAGCCCCAACTTTATCAGCCTGTCCTCATAGGGGAGGTGTTCTAGTCCTCTTAATAGTCACTGTGTGGCCACATCCCTGCAGGAACTCCCTGTACTCCATCCCCCACATCCTGACAACCTCTCCTGAGTTGCAGTTGCAGTTTGCTTCACAGAAGTTAAGAGACTTAAGCACCTTCTTCCCATTCCCAGTGCCTCCAGAGCTGAGTGACACATTCCTGGAAGGACACCACAACTGCTGCAAGACCAGTGGAATTCGCTTGACTGACTGGAGCAACCAAGTATGCAGCCAAGGCCCAGAGCCTGTGCTTAACTCTTCATGACTTGGCCCCAGTCTGGTGTACAAACCCCCTCTGGCTGCTCTGTCCAGGTATTACAACTACAAGATGAGGGCCTTGTTTTATAGAAACCTTGTGTGACTTCAGCAGTGTGAGGGACTGTGCACTGATCCTGATGCTTTCATGGTCAGGATGCATTTATGTGCTACTTCCTACATGAAGAAGTCTTTGCATGTTTTCCTTGAGCTTCATTCATAGAATCATGCAATTGTTAAGGTTGAAAGATCCCTCTAAGATCATTGAGTCCAACTGTTCCCCCAGCACTACCAAGGCCACCACTAACCATGTCCCCAGGTGCCACATCCACATGGCATCCAGAGATGGTGATTCCACTGCTGCCCTGGGCAGCCTGTGCCAGGGCTGGACAATCCTTTCCATGGAGAAATTGTTCCCACTATCCCACTTAAATCCAATCCTATATCCAATCTAATCTACTTTATGCACCATCCTTCAGCTGTGTCGAGATCCTTTCTTTGATCTCCCAGAGAAGGATTTATGATCACTTGTTTGTGTATGGGGAATAGCCTAAGGACTTGCTAAGAATGCAAGACCCTAGCGAGATCAAAGGGATGCTGAAGGTCTCTATGTGCTCCATCGTCTCTCTTCTAGTTGAGGTCATCAATAATTACTGGATAGTCACTGTCTTGTAGGATCTCCTCTCACTCTACCCCTGTGATCTCTTTGAAAATCCTAACAGTATCCCATCAGAACCTTCTTTTCCATTGTTCCCTACAGGTTCTTTATCTACTGTCCTTCTTGCACTATAAAAAAAGTCATCAGAGGTCACTGATTGCAATCCTGATGGTGACAACCTGCTTGTGAATTAACAGGACTATCACCAAAACCTGCACAAATGGTGGTGCTTCTCAAAGGTAAACAAAAAGACTTTCCCAGCAGGCTGGCAGCCTTCCTGAGGACCTTCAGGAGATGCTGGGTGTATTACCATGAAGAGCCACCCAAGCCAACCACAGTCTGAAATGGCATAAAATTGGTTCTGATTGTGTCATTCTGCTTCCTTAATTTTGGAAGACATTCATAGATCAGCTGCTTTCTTAGCTGTTGTCTCCCTGGAATTTCTTGCTTTGTCCTGTAATTTGCTGAATGCTCTGGTTCCAGCCCAACCACACCAGCTCCTCCTGGCTTCTATCCTTGGATAGAGTCCATGGACTTTGGACTGAGCCCACTGTCACAGCTGATTTAAGATTTCTTGCTCTGCCAATGAGTGTTAGTGAGGCAAACCCATGTGGAGCCTGTGCCAGTTTTCAATACCAAGATGACAGTTGTGACAGACAGGTGGATCTAGCAAGTGCTGGATGTGAAGTCTCTGGCCATATGTTCTCTTTTGATGCAGCAAATCATTCTCATCTGGATTCCCACCATCCAGAGGAACTGCCTTGTCCTTCCCCCACAGAAATACACTGCCAGTGCCATCCCCTTCCTTCTGTGCTCTACATTTAGCAGCTTTGTGGGCAACAAGGGCCATAGGATTGAGTCCACACAGAAAATTGCTGGTGACACCAAGATGTGTGGTGCAGTCACATGCGGGCGGGAAGGGATGGCATCCTGGAGAAGAGAAGGTTTCAGGGACAACCTAGAGCCCCTTCCAGTGCCTCAAGGGGCTCCAAGAGAGCTGCAGAGGGACCTGGGACAAGAGCCTGGAGTGCCAGGACACAGGGAATAGCTTCCCACTGCCAGAGAGTAAGGCTAAAGAGGCTAATTAAAAGCTGAGGGTGCTGAGACACTGACACAGGTTGCCCAGGGCAGCTGTGGCTGCTCCATCCCTGGGAGTGTTCCAGGCCAGGTTGGATGGGGCTTGGAGCAGCCTGGGCTGGTGGGAGGTGTCTCTGTGCATGGCATGATCTTCCAACCCTAACCATTCTGGGATTCTATGACTTGGATATTGTCAATCTATAGAGCAACCTCCCCATGGGACAGGACATCATACTAATGTGGAGACCTGGTGTGCATCCTTGTGACATCTTTATTTCATCTCTTACCTGGCTTTGGCACTGGAGCACGAACAGGTGTAGGTCGGATCCCAGCGTTCCACTGGGAGCTCTGGGCCAGAGCCTTTGCTGCTGCTTTGGGGGTCATGTTCCCAGGTGACTGGTGAGTGGCCCAGCTGGGACGAACTGATGGTTTTGGAAGAAACTGCAGATCTGCAGAAAGCAATAGCTAGGAAGAGAAGGCAATACCAACAGCTTCAGAGGGACTGGAAACATTTGAATCCATTGAGAACATGTATAAATTCCATATATTCTATAAATGATATCCCTAAATTATATTCCTAAATGATACAACATAATCTGCTTTATTTGCAGTGACCTGTGCTGTGGTATCAGTTTACCTTAAGCACAAAAGGACCCAATTAGGAATTGAAGTTAGTAAAGCTAAACCCACACTAAATTGATTCTCTGCATCAATTCATATGTTAATGCACAAATTCTCCCCTGTGCAAATGGCTGTGACTGATTTCAGTCTGGCTTGGTGTTTGAAGTCTCTCAGTGGAAAGGATGAAGATTATTTTAACATAAGCAGCATAAAAATTAGGCAAAAAAATTTTAAATCTTAACACATTTTATTCCTTGAGAAAGATCTCTCAGATTCAAAAAATCACAGGTTCTGCAGACCAACAGTTTAGGGTTTTTTGGGACAGATACAAATGATTTGGTAAGAATAGTGAACAAACATTATTATGCTGAATAAATAAAATGGAAAATAAGGTTTTCAGAATATAAACATACTTTGGACAGGACTGTGCCTCATGCTGAGAGCTCTGGATCTTTATGTGGCCATACCCACCCACTATAAATGTGATTTTTACTCAAAACATCAATTCCTGTCAATATGTCACAGGAAAATCTAATCCTGACTTCAAATGCTGCAATCTTATTACCTTAGGATATAGGCAGCGAGGTAAGAATGACTGATCCTGTCAAAAAGATGTTATTTAGTAAGCACTAAAAATAAGTGAGTAATTCAGGAACAGCTGTGAGGGCGGAGAGGTGTCTCCAGCAGAAACCAACAGACAGCCTGGAAGGCAAAAACAGCCTCTAATTGCTGACATTGCAGTCATTTGCAAAGCTGTCACAGGCATCAATCAAATGTTACCTTCCTGATAAACTATCTGGGAATGTTGACATTTGGGTTATTTTGCTGAGAAGCTGCTGAAGATTCCTCATGGAAGCCCTCAAGGACTGTGTGAAGGACACTGGTGTGGGAGCAGTGATGCCTGAGGAGGGACCTGTAGGGCCAGAGCTCAGAAATCCCAGCAGGGCAGCACAGCTCCCAGTCAGTGACATCCTTAGAGGAAGGCATTTCCCTGGATAGAGAGAGGGCAGGAATTCCCCCCCCACTGCAGAGACATGGGGGCCACATGTGCATTCCTAAGAGAGAATGTGGCCCTTCATTCAGGGACCTAATTACCTTAATTTATTGTAAGTTACTATTTATTGTAATTTAGCTAATTTACTTTAATTTATTCTAAATGAAGTGTGAGCCTGGTCACATTTTATGCTACACTTTCCATGGTTACTAATCAACTCCCAAACCTCACAAGTTTGCTAGAGGAGAACTGATTCAGCACATGCAAACGTGGAGCCAGTGGATGCAATTCCAGGGCTCAGGTTGTCACCTTAATTATGTGTTTATTCTCTTTTGGTGTGCTGTGTTGCCTCCTGAGCTGGGAGCTCCCTCTAATAACCCTTTTTACATCTTCATTGTTGCCTGTAATATACTTTATTCTCACCTACTTTCTGCACTGGGATCATTGATCTGTTTGAGAGCTTCATTTTAATTTGACTCGATGTTTGCTTGCCTTGGGCACTTATTCTTTCATCACAGTCTATTCTTCTTCTAAGGCTTTAGTAAAAGATTTGCACATTAAGCCTCTTTATTTGGACTTGATTAAATAAGAGTCTTTTCACAGGTTGCTATTTCAATTCAAACCATTTCATGGGTTCCTAATGTTACCTTAATAATAAATGGAAATTAATTTTGGATTATTCTTAGTGAATTATATATATATATATTCTTGCATCAGCCTGCTGTAACCTCAGCTTTATTGTCTTGTAGTGCTGTAGTCATTAAAGGCTGTTGTAGCAGCAGGGTTATACCAGAGAGAGCAAGAAGCACAACTTTTCTGCTGAAACATGGACAACTCTGCATTTAGGAGTTCAGAGGAATACAAGGGAGGAATACAGTCCTGTTTTCAATGCAAAGGTATAGGAACGAGTGACCCAGCAAACCGGCTGCTCCAGATTTCTAACACAAACAGAAAATGCTGCCAACAAGACTGCATAGCACAAAGCCATGGAATTCTGCTCTGGGCTGATGTCACCCTGTGCTGGCACTGCTGAGGCACCTCCAGTCCTGGGGGCAGTTCTGGGACCCTCAGAACAAGAGAGACATTGAGGGGCTGGAGCATGCCCTGGGAAGGGAACGGAGCTGGGGAAGGGGCTGGAGCAGCAGGAGCAGCTGAGGGAGCTGTGGGGGCTCAGCCTGGAGAAAAGGAGGCTCAGGGGAACCTTCTGCTACCTGCAACTCCCTGACAGGAGGTGCAGCCAGGTGGGGTCAGGCTCTGCTCCCAAAGTGGCAGGATGAGAAGAAACTGCCTTAAGTTGCACCAGGTTTAGGTTGTATATTGGGAACAATTCCTTCCTGGAAAGGGCTGTCCCTGGAGGGATTTAAAAGCCATGTGGATGTGGCACTTGAGGACATGGTTAGTGGTGGGCTTGGCAGGGGTGGGGGGTGGACTTGATCACAGAATCATAGAAGACCTTGATGGTCTTAAAGATCTTTTCCAACCTTAACGATTCTACGATTTCATGTCAGTTAAATGCTTTCTGGTCACTATTTGCTACAGGAATAAGAATGTCACTTTTAAACTGTGGATAGTCAGCAGAAGGTCACACACACACTGTTCAACCTTGTACTGCTACAATTTGGTACAAAAATTCCCACTGAGCTTGTGCAGGAGGGTTTGGACTTCACGGTGAGAGTCGGCCTAAGTGCTTGTGCCTGCCTGGTTTGGGGTTGCAGGTTAATTAACTTGGAAGAACACATAACTTTGCTAAAATCTGGGGAAAGAAAAAAAATCCACTTATTTTTACCCTGAACTAAGATTCTTTCACTTCTTGACTGACAATAACAGAGCTTTAAATTTTGAAAGGGGAAGTTGTGGTGGGATGAACATGTGCAAGGACACTCTGATCTAAGGGCTACAGAGGAAGAAGCCATTGGAGAGTGGAAATTGTAAGACACAGAGTGAATAACTTTAATTATATTTTCTATTCCATAACAGTGATTGAATCTATTTCCTTGCAAACAGGCTGTATTTGGGTCAGGAGAATGCCTCCAATCTCAGGAGACAATGCCTCTCTTTTATGTAAACCTTCTTTAACTCAACTCACAAGCATTCCCTGGCTCTTATCCCTTAGGAAACGGTTCCCGGTCTGCAGAACCCCCCGACACGCCTGTGGGCACGTCCTTCTCCTGGCAGTTATTTGTTGCCATATCTACAAAAGCTTAGACCCATGGAGCTTTCTGGAAGCCTGACTTCCCTGGGCTCCTTTCATGGGAGGATGCCCTATTTTACCAGGCACGAGCACAATGAATCCTCAGTGTTAAGACCTTTGGGGTTGCTTTGCTCAGGCTCAGCACAACGAACAGAGAATAACTGAACATCAAACCGCAGTGATCAAAAAGTTGTGAGTACAGAAGAGAAGCTTTGGGAAGAGATGGAAGAGAATCATGCCAGTGCTTTGTGAAAAAAGCTTGGAATTGGACTGTTGGGGTACTAAGTGAGCAGAGTGAAGGAGGAGCTGATAACAAGGTCATTGTCTCTGCACAGACAGTTGCTGCCCCTTTTCCACGGACTGTCTGGGCTGCAATGAGATTCCCTTGGAGCAGTCAGCCATGGGGAGCTTTGTGTCCTCCTCCTGCCCAGGTATATCCCTCAGGGACAGGCAACCAACAGCACTGGCAGCCTCCTCGTAGCAGGGGCACTCACCTAAGTGGAAACTCTGAGCTCAAACATCCCTGGGTGTGCGTGACACCGAGCCTCAGTTGATATAATTACAGGCTGGGGATACTTGCCAGTGATTTTGCCTTCTGGAGCTTATTACATCCACGACCTGCTCTCTTTTTCCTCTCAGCTGCCTGCTGGCTCAGGTCTGGGGTCTCCCCTCCTCCTTTCCTTCTCCTGCAGAGTAGAACAAAACAGTATTAATAAGTGCTATGAAGTTGGTTCCCTGAGGACGATAAAAAGAAAATCCCCTGTGATATTGCCACCCAAAAAGACAGGGTTTAAGATAACACATTTTATCCTGCACCTGGGGCAGCCCAAGAGCACTCAATCAGATAGTGGAGCTCAGAGGAGGGTGGTAACTTGCTATTTTTTAAGTTATGATAACTTTATGGCACTCAAACACATGCCCTTAGCTCAAGATTTACTGATTTAAGCCAAATCCAGATAACGTGTTCCAGCAGCTTAGATGAAAAGATGTTTAACTAAACCAATTTGAGAGTTCTCAGTGAAATCTACCTTGTAGCACAAAAATGGCTGAGGGACTGCCCCTCCAACAAGGTATTTAGCCATTGTTTTTATAGCCAAATATTTCTATGTATCTATATGTTTATACATTTATATGCAGCTTTTATTTAAGTCAATACAATTAACTGTCAGAACAGTAATATTCCAGCATGAAAATTAAGTGAAGGACACTGGAATATGGCCAGTTGTCACATTTTTCCAGTATCAGGAGTAAAGTCCAGACTCTGAGGCAGTAATTTTAGGAACTCAGGCAGGTTCATCAGCACATGTGCTCTGAAGGTGTTCATTCCTCTTCCACATTCAAATTCCACAATACAGAATTAGGGAATTTAAAGCAGCAGCTCTGGGTGCTCTCTGAGCACATCTCCAGTGTCTCTGGGCTCCTGGAAGGCAGGCCAGAAAACACAGTATGGATACAAAATCATGGATATAAGGGGTGGAAACAGACTAAAAGCAACATTTACCCTGTAAAGAAACAGGATCTCACCACATAGCACACACATCCTCAGAAACAGCCAACACCAATACGTGTCTGGTATTCACTCAACCCACACTAGCTGCAGGTCCAGGACCATAAAGTCAAATCCAACATTATTTCAAATAGGAAATTGAGGGAAACTGCAATCTGTTTATAAACAGCCATGGGAGAAAATTCAGTCCAAAATATTCTTGTTGGGAATGAACTGGTCATCTTGGTGGACCTGACAGTGTCAGGTTTATGGCTGCATGTAATGATCTTAAACTTCTTTTCCAACCTAAATGATTCTGTGATCTTTGGATGAAATGCAGGCCTGGCCTTGTATTCGTAATTTCAGATAGTAACCTCTACTGCTGTCCTCTGGTGTCCATACTCGTGGTGTCAGGGCATCCCCCTGCAGCAGGTCACCAGCACAATCCTGTGTCAGGGTCAGGAAGATGTAAGCAGTGAGGATGAGTTTCTCAAGGCTGCAAAGGGAAAGGGCATGGGAGCCCAGATGACGACAGCAGGTCTCACTCCCAGTGCTGATCTTGGTGTTTCTCACCGCATTTTACTCCCCTAAGGAATGTTTTTAATTCCCACAAGCCCAACAGGCACAGAGTGCTGGGCTGGCTATTCAGAGACATGAAAAGCAAGGGACAGGCGTTGGGATTGGGAAGGACAGGGATACATTGCATCCTTCTCACGCAAGTGAGCTCCTCTTTGTCACGAACTGGGCTACTGGCAGAACAATTACTGAAAGTAATTATTTTCTCATTGGGTAAACACTCCAGGACAATATGCAACTGTTTTTTAGAGCCAGCTATGTCCATAAATTATCTAACTGAATTAGTGCTGCCTTCCAGAAGCCTGTGCTGGCTGGGGGTGGGGGGAAGAAGGTTGTATTTTGGCTGAGCTGTTGTCATGAGAAGGAGCAGGGCTCTTTCTTGAGGCACAAGGACATGATCTTGGCAGGGGTCCAGCACTAGGAATTCATTATTCATGATAAACTGGGAGGCAAACCTTTTGATTTATTGGCAACCAGCAGCACAAACAGCAGATGCCTTCCAGCAGAGCTCTACATGCATGGACTGACAGAAATGCCCCTCCTGGTCCTTTGTAGGCAGTTCAGAGTCCCACAGAAAAATTTCCTAACTTGGTTCCACACTTTAGATTAAAATCTTTCACTTCCCCTTTGCAATATTGCTTTGTGCCTCAAGAGACAAATCCCTCCCTGCTGGTGTCTGGGGTTTGTTGGGGGTTTTTTTTGTATGTAACAAAAAGCTGCTTGGACAATTCAGGCAGAAAACAAACCAGACCTACCAGAAATTATCCTTAAGATAAATTGCAACACTGATAGTCACAGCTATAATTCTAGTGAGGGATTTTGATAAGCCCTTCCAGGCAATTTGTAATTCAACCCCTGTCTGTATCTCTTCTCTATCACCTCACCACTCCCTTGGCTACACATCTAATCATTGCTATTCTTAATTTCACTGCTCAGTGACTGTGAAGCTTTTCCCACACTATCCCACCTCAACTACATCACCACCCAGTGAACATATTCAGGGATCTCTGTCCCATCTCCTTCATGCTGCAGTGGTGTTTGCCATGAGGCTCCTGGGTGCCATTCAGATTTTGGAGTTCATGCCTTTCTGAGGAAACAGCAAAGAAATCCCTCAGAAAAAAAAAACAAAAGTCAGGTTTCAATTATCATCCAGATTGCAAATTAACACTATTCTGCCATTTTTGGGGCACTATCAGCTGTGGCACTGTTATGGTTCTTCTCCCCAGTGACATGAAGCACCAGCACTGTCCAGGTCAAACCTTCACCCAGCTGCTCTCTAGAAATCTATTGATTTGTTTTTCAAAGGTAAACAGCCAATTACAGTCATAGATCCCAAAGTATATGCTTTGTGGTACCTCTTGTGGGACTCAACCTCCACTCCCCTGTATAACAGAAAATTGAGTATACAGGTCACACTTCCAATGTTTCACTGGTTTTAGCTATGCAAGGATAAGTTATCTGCTACAAATTCACAGCAGTGTTGTTTTGATGCTGCTGTGGAAAGGAGCAGGAAGGTAATGACTCCTCTCAAAAGGCCAATGAAGAAACAGATGACAACTTTTCGTCATCACAGATGACAAGAGTGACTTTTTACACTGGCAGGTAGTGACAGGACAAGGTGGGAACATTTTTAAACTAAGAGGAGAGATTCAGATTAGAGATTATGAAGAGATTCTTCCCTGTGAGGGTGGTGAGGCACTGGCACAGGTTGCCCGGAGCAGCTGTGGCTGCTCCATCCCTGGGAGTGTTCCAGGCCAGGTTGGATGGGGCTTGGAGCAACCTGGGCTGGTGGGAGGTGACCCTGCCCATGGCAGGGGATGGAATGGGTTGAGCTTTAAGGTCCCTTCCAACCCATACCAGTCTGTGGCTCCATTAATCCTGCCATTTACAAGACAGAATTTCAGCTGCAGCATGGACACCCTGGTATGATGAACAGCAGAGTCCTCCCATCTCTTTGGACCAGAAAGCAAGTGTAGAGTGAGGTCAGGTTCAGAGGAGATTTTAACCAGGTCCAGGAGTTAGAAAAAACGGAATTTTTTCATTACCTCTTAAATTTTGCCAAATTTAACCTGACATTAGGCAGATTAACTTTGATTCAAAGTAGCAGCCAGTGACTAGTCTCACAGTTGCTTTGATGGTGGCGTCAAGTATTCCTTTGATGTAATCTTCTTTATTCACAAGGAATTTTCTACAAGTCCAGTTTTCCTCAGCACAGCAGAACTCAAATGGAAAGAATGGTTTGTTGGCTCCCACATTTCCAGCCAACATGCTGGACTATGAGTGCTCTCTCCAGCCCTTCTCTCTCCACCATTGCTTTGCCTTCCTGCTGCTTTCTGCAGGTCCTGCCACATCCTTTCACACATCCTCATGACCTCAAGGAAATACTTGTTCCTTTCTACATACACTCAGGCTGCAGCAAACCCCATTTCCTCTCCCAGCCTACCTTTAGCAAACCTTGGGAAATCACTTCTATTGTTTCAGGATCTCATTTTACATAGATTTCATTACTTCTGACAGTCATTTTACATGAAGAGCGTTTATTATGCCCTTGAGCTCCAAGAATTCATCTCATCTGAAGAATAACTGCACCTAACTGCCTGGGGGGTTAGAGATTTTTATCTTGGGTTTCTGTTCTATGTTACAACCCTGCACACTGGTCAGGCAGGGTCTGCCTGAGCCTGTAGGCTGCACTGAGGCAGATCATCTTGCAAGCATTCCTGTGAGACTCCAGGCTCAGCCAACAAGACCTGGAAAGAGTTGGCTGAGCATAGCCTCCATCAGTTGTCCAAAACAAGGCTTGGCACCCCAGAGGGGCACTATGACCACGTTGCCATTGTGCTGCCATTGGTAGGTGACCTACACCTGCCCAAGCCACACATTAGCTGCCACCTCCACCAAATCCTGCACTTGAGGAACACTCAAGCCTGCAAGGTGGTGTCTCACTGCTCCTGACACTGAGAGGGAGCTGGTGAGGTACTGAAGATCCTGGCAGATCTCAAGAAGCAAAGGGTGGAGGATGCAATACAGAGCCTTTGTGGGAGGTTTTCCGGGAAAGGGTGGCAGAGGGGACTCTGTCAGCAATGTGTCCATGGAAAAGAAGCACCAGAACATGATTATGTGAGTGGGAAGCTGGGTCAGCACCTGAAGTGGCACACCTGTGTGCCGAATAATCACTACAGATGAGACGACACACTAGCAATTACTTTCAGCTTAAGTGATATTAAAGGCAGATCCTTGATAAACAAGCAAATCTCACAGAATTCATTTCTCTCCTCACAATAATCCTCTGTAATTATGGATAAATGCCAGATTTGCTGGAACACTAGGCATTAAAATATTCTCCATTGCACAAATGGAGAGAGGCTCAGATTTCATTTAGGAGAAGAAAACAGTCAATGCTTACTGTATCATTAGCAACTCAGAGCTGTTTCCATCTGTTTCTCAGCTGTATCCACAACTCAACACTGGAACAAGCGACCTTTAAACTCCTCAAACAAGGCTTGTCCCACTTTTTCATGGCCAGCACAAGGCCTAAACCTCACCTAAATCCTTTGGGAATGCTAAACAAAGACATTTAGCACAGCTTGAAAATAATACCAGGGCATCCATTTGCAAGAAGAGGCATTTTGTCAAAGTATTTAGTTAAAAGCCTCAAAGAACTCAACCCAAAAATGGTGCTGGAGTTTGGAAACATACCACAGAAAGAGGGTGAGGTGGAAACTGAGAAGCTCTTTGAAGTAGTGCAATATCCTAGGAGTAGGGGACGCGGATTAAGAAGTGATTCATAAAAGGCTTTTGCTCAGACACTGAGAACTCTGCGGAACACCCCAGAGGAGTGGTGGGTCCAGCAAAGTTAATCGCGTTGAGAAAGAGCTCTGCAAGTGCACAACTGGCTAATTCCTGGGCTGATTGTTCCTGTGCACAGGGATAATCTCAGCTCTATCAGTTATTTACTTTAATACAATCCTGGTGCTTTCATTGTGGCTCAGTTGGTTCCCAAGGTTTTTGTTGGCACAGGGAAGAGGAATCTCCTCCTCTCTGCACATGTAGTGTGATGAGTCTGTGCAGGACTTTTCACAGGGACTCACACAGGAGCCAGGCAACGGTCAAGCTGCTCCATTACCTGTTTTCCAGGCTCAGATGAATGACAGTGTCACCTGTTTCACTTCAGCTGGGCTGAGGTAGCTGCCCTGAGCCCATGAAATGTGAGAGGTGGCATGAACAGAGACAAGGAATGGGTAAACACTGCCCACAGGTGACTCCTGCAGGCTTGTTATTGCTCCTGTTGCTGCTTGGTAATGCACAGGAGTTGGAGGCCAGATCTAAGATTTGAAAAATCTCTGATGCCAGATGTGTCCAAGCAAAACATGAGGCAGTCCTGACACACATCAGCATGCAAAACTCTACTTCAGGGTGTAAATGCTTCTCTTGCCAGTGACCAGACAACTCTGGGAGCTCAGGAGCTGGAGGATCCAGACAATCTATCCCAGGCAGTGTAGGCACAACTACTATTCATTGCTTAAGCGTCCTCTAGCACACACTTACTCTTAAACCTACACTCCAATTCAATCATCTAAATCTCTTTTCAGCCGGAAGATCCTTGAAGTGATAGAATCACATTTCATCACAATTAATTCATTCTTCCTCTTCCGTGCAAAACTCACAGATTCCTCTCAACCTTGCAGCTTTATTTAAAAACTCTTCAATAAACTCTTGTCCTAATTCTTCCCATTACAGCTGTGTAACATCCCCAAGAGCTACAGCCTGTTTTATAGGCAGCCTCTAACAAGCAGAGCCAACATTTGGACTTACTGATCCGTGTAGGTCCCTTCCAACCCTGAATATTCTGATCTGTGCTGAAGGAATATCCTCTATATGATGATGAAGCTGTGCCCATGCTGTGCTGAAAGGACACAAAGCAATGCAGCTGCACCTACAACTGCTCCAAGACCAAGCCAAAAAAAAGCTGAAAGAGCAGCAAACTGGGTTTGCCAACCAGGTTGCTGAACTTCCAGACAGCTTGGAGCAGAGTGAGCTTGCAAGGGACACAGACAGACATATCCAATGCCACAGAAAAGGCCAAAGGGAAGAGATGAAGGCCTTACGCCTGTCTCGCCTGCTCGATGGGGTCGGAGTTGTCGAGGTAGTTGTACCGGATGGTGTCTGTAGGGTGTCTGTCGGATGAACGCCACGGTGGGAGCTCTTTTCTTTCCTTGGTTGTCTTCCTTCCTGGCACAGAAAGTTTTGTCTCTGGGACGTGGCTTCTTATGGGTTGAACATCAATAACTACAAACTTGCCCTTGGAAGGAGTCTAATATGAGAGATGAAAAGAAGAAAATAAGTTTTAGCCTATAATGAAAATTAGATTAGCCTAAATTTAGACTTATAATCATTGGGAATTAACTCAAAATTACTATTTCCAAGCTCCATTAAGGACTGTGGACAGAAACAGGCACCTTGACAGTGCTTGTCATCACCCATGTCCCACAATCTGTATTAATATGAACTGAGCTGCTGATGAGAGTCATTGGCTTCTTGCTCTTGACTACACAGAGTCTACAGGGGAGTTTGCTTAAAATTAGAGGGTTGGGTTTTGAATTCAGGGCAGAAGAATCCCAAAAACATAAAGAGGCAAAAGGGTTAGGAATCAGTTTTCACACTGTCCCCAAACATCTCTAGAGGTGGTAGACATGTACCTTCGGTCTTGTGATGTGCAGCTCTTTCACCATCTCAATGTAATGCTTCTTCCAGATTCCTTGCTCAAATGGGGTTGGAGAGAAGTTGATGTACCAGCCAAAACGGAGGCATTTCAGCATCCAGAGCTGATCCAGTTCAGACAGGTACTTCCAGTACCAGCTCACCTGTGAATGCCCAGGAAGCTGAAAACCTTGGGGTTTCAAGTGCCCAAGATTTCAGCTAGAGACTTCTGTGCTGGGGATGTAATTCCCTTATGTCCTTAAACTAGAACAATTCTTCAGCACTGTTAATGCTCCATTTAAACCTTTGATGAAACCATTTAAACCATTCAAAGTCTTCATGACATGGGTCACTTTCAGCTCAGTGAATGGATAGTTTGAGTTACATTCATATAAAACAAGAAATTCTGGAGAAAGATACTAGAGCAAGGTTTAAACAAGCAGAGATTTTTATATGTTCTTAGTATTAAATGGAGTATTATGTTAGTGCAGAAGTAATGTCACCAATATCTGAACTGATTCCTTCAGAACTACTTTGAGCTGCACCTCACAGCATTTTATCACATGCAAACATATTTTTTGAGTCTTAGCCACTGTGTTCCAAAGCACATCCATAACTTCTTTGCTTCTCCACATCCAACACCTTACCCTGAGGCATTTTAAAGGATCTGCTTTCCTTAAAGGATCATGTGTGGCTCTTTGCAATAGCACAACCCAACACTTTTCAAAGGATTAAGGACTCTGCACACAGGGGAAGGTACTTCAGAAGAACATGACTTTCAGAAAGTATCAAGTTTCCTTTTTGGGAATAATCAGTCTTGAAAGTGCCACATTTTAAATGCCTGAGAGCTGAGCATCTAAAATTACTCTTCACTTTTATAAATCTTGGCCAATCTAGCTTAATTTAGGATCTGAGGAAGTGTAGCATTTGGTCTCTTACTAAGCATTTGGCAGGAAGCTTTCAAGTCAGAAGACCTCCTTGCATTCTGATGAGCAGCACTAGTGTGTCTTCATCCAAAACTAGTGGTTTCCTTTGTATTAACTACCTTGCCTTGACTTTCTGAACCTAAGGTCCATGTTGGCTTTTTTACCTGTGCACATCGACAGAGGCTCCGTGGGTCCAGGAAGGAGAAGATGTATAAAGACAGGACTCGAGGAAGCCTTGTGGTAAAATCTAGAGCCTCGGTGGGGACTCGCTCCTGGAGCTGCTTGGCACAGAATTTCTGCTGTGACAGGGAGCAGCGTTCCAACAGGTCCACCAGGATCCTCCTCCTCTGACCATCTGTCCACTTGTCAAACTGAAAAAAGGAGTTTCAGCTTCAGAGAAACCAGAGATTCAACTTCTTAAAATAAAGCACATGTTTAAGGCAATGGAAAGTGCATAAGCAGCAGCTTCTGGTGACTCATTCAGGAGCAAAGCACGTAGGAACTGGGAACAAATGGAGAGGCTACATGAAAAGAACCTCTGAAGCCACATAACACATGATTTATAATCCTCAAAGGATCCAGGATGGCCTAGTCCAGGACTCACTCATGCTTACAAGACTCTTTGCTCCTTGGACCAGCTCTGAGACTTGGCTTCACTCATGGAAATGAAGAGACTCAGATGTGTGTTTATAGGATCAGGTCCCAAGTTATTAGTTCATTGCTGAATGCTCTCCTGGCCCCACCACTGCAACATTTGGGTGCCTCACAATTTGTGAAGTACCTTTTCTCACAGTCCCACCGCACAGGAGACAAATCCTCACTACAGAGAAGCAAAGAGAAGCCAAAGTGTCTCACAAGGAAAATCTGAGGCACAGTCACAAAGATTTTTCATAGCATTTCCACGCTTATGACAGATACCTGAAGAGGAGGAATAAACCAGTTGTGGGAAGAACTGAGCACTTGGGCAACCACATGATGGCTTGGCTACGATGGCAACAACAACACTGCATGGAGCAGAGTGGGGCAGAGCTGTGTAAATAGGGTGGGAGCAATGGTGGTGGTGGCTGGTGTGTCACTTGTGTTGATAGCAGAGGATGGAAAGGTCCTTGTCAGCA